GCATTGTGAGAGCCGCGACGATTCAACGACCGTTGCAAAGGCGTGAAATGGATGGAGCGGAAAGTCCCAAACTTTTTCTCTCCACACGCGAATAATCGAAACGCATCGAGATATTCGCTTAGAAATTTCTCGAATATATATATATATATATCTTCGTGAAAGTATTCTTACGTGAAACGTCGGTGAGAATATTTCGTGGTTGTTGGAAAGTAATTAGATTCGAAAAGAAACGTTAATTTCTTCCGAATAAGAAGACTTAATTATTTAATTTCGTGAATATTCAAGCGTGAAAAATTGGCTTTCCGATTGCGGGAAAATTGTACGCAGGATCGAGGTGATTGCCTTTGGGCGATCGTCGAAGCTTCGAAGATTTATTTCAGATTCCTCCGTTGGAAATTCGAAAAGTTGGGGATCGTGGATTTATTTCGTCAACAGGTGGATTAAATCGAGGTAAATCGGAGGAATCGGAACGAATCACGAAGTTGGCGCCATCTTTTCCTTCGATCAACGAAGGAATAATATGTGAAAGCGTATACTTTAATTCTCTTCTTGTTCCCCTTCCGAGTTTCGTTGTGACTGCGCAAGACAAATTTTTCCCCCTCTCTTTAGGCCTCGACTCGTCGACTAATAAAATGAATGCTCGGAACATCTCTGCGTGACTCGTAGAACGCGTAGTAGAGTATGTGTTAATAACAAGGATTGGCTTGCTCTTCAGGAGAAACCTAAAGTTCTCAAAAGGGAGACTTGGATATGTTTCTTAATCGTTTTATATAAAATACGTATCCAGGGAAAATCGATATTTCACGAGCCTTAATTTTACACGTAATTGCGTCGATCGATTTAACACTGCATATCGAATACACTTAATCGTCGATGCTATTTACGTATGTAATTACGTTTTATAATTACCGTTACGTTAATTAAAATTATACGTTATTCCATATTAAATTTTCTGCTCCATGGGGCGCAAATAAATTAACGAGATCGTTTATATTATGTACAATCTTCGTCAAAAGTAATTGTTCGACTAATGCTTCCGATGCTTCCTTCTTTCCTTTTTCTCTTCTTTTCTATCCCTTTTATCCAGTTCGTGAAAAATCCAAGGATACATAAATTCTTGTTCAATTCTTAATTAAATCGATGTCCTTGAAGGAAACAATCCTCGGGCACGATCGATAATAAGGATCTATGCTATGTCGAATTGAAATAGAATTTGTTCTATCATCGGTGGATAAGTTTCGTATATACACGATTTATAATTCGATTGAATCGTAATTAATTCTCGCTTTATGCTTTATAAACTTGTACCTTTGTACATCACGTGCCCCGCATTATGTATTATTCTTCCATCGCGTTACATAAAATTGTATCATTCGAGAGATTACTATGAATTATTTAACGGAACTGTATCACCCCGTGTAAATTATCTACTAATTCTATATACAACGATAAAGGAATAATTAATAACCCGTTATCGTTGTAACTAACTCCGGCAAACTATCATATTTAAATTGTCATTGTTCGATTAATAAATAAAATTCAAAGCAGACCGTAAGTGTAAATCGCTCGCGTCTCCCGGGTGGCGTAAATCCTTTCCAAAGTTTTTCCCCTCCCCGTGGTTATTTACGCGACGCGACTGTTGTTACGTCGAACCTGTTGGCCCAACACTTTCCGACCGACTCGCCAATTCCGTTCCCTCCGCCGGACAATTCCCCGACGAATAATCAGCCGAAAGATCAACGGAGGTCTAAATGCCGTTTCCACGTTGCGTCGTTTAATTAAATTCATTCGTTCAACTTTAAGAACCGAGGAAATTAACTTCTGGAGAGAAGTAATGTTTCTTCTCGTCCCCCCTCCCAAGTTTTGTTGTGGCTGCATGGGACAAATTTTTCATCCCCACCACCTTTCCCCCTCTTTGGACTCGTCGACTAATCGTAACCTTTGCGCGAAGAGAAATCAAAGAGGTGGAATAGAATATTATCGCGGAAGGATTGGACGCGAGTCGTGGATTTAACGCGAGAAGGAGAGTGGTTCGGTTGAAAATAACACGAATAACCCGCGGCGTTCCGGCCGAGCGTCGCTTCCCATGACGATAACGATAATACCGAGGCTTGGCCCTTCTACAAAGTATAACCTAATTATCCGACACGCCGCGCTGCTGTTTCCATCTCCGTGCCGCACGCCATCGTAATACGCAACCGCGTTCAACGCTTGCCGCTCGCATCTTCATTATACAAGCGAATGCACGCCGCATTCGCTTACGCTTTGACCGGACGCGGCAGAGCCTCTCTCTGTCCCCTAACGAACCGTCTCTCTCTTCCCTGCCTATTTCGCTATTTACCCGCCCATATCTCGCTCCCAATTCCCTTTTCGATTCATTCGTCGTATGCGTCGATAAAATCGTCTACGTTTCTTCTTTGTCCTTCCTTGCGAGGACACCGGACTAGTGGAGAAAGGAAGAAGGGAGGGGATTGACGGTTACGGTTTAACGCGACGAGCGAATCTGTAAATCGATTACCGATCGGGGGGAACTCGGTCGGTAATGATAATTGAATTTTTCGGTGCAATTGGTTGTCGCGCGGCGGCAACTAATTCAGCGAAAATAGAATATCTGTCGACGCAATCGACGACACGATTATCGCGACGTTGATGAAGTTTCGAGCAATCGACCGCTCGTCCATGTCGCTCGTCCCTCCCCCTCCACCGCTTGGAAACGCGTTCGCCCGCGTTTTGTCGACGCGTCGAATATAAAGTAGCGGCCGTTCGATCGAGGAAATCATATAGCATCATCGTTCATCTTTTTTTTTTTTTCATTCGATCGATCCTTCAATTCATCGAAAATGATAAAACGATGCCTCGCATTTGCGTTTTGTGTAAATTAATAAATTCGCTTATAATTGGATCCCCCTTGGTTACGCTCGATATGAATAGATAACACGGCCGTGTGTAACCGTGTGTTGTCGGATAATTGGGATCGAGTCGATGTATTCGCGTCCATTATAAATTGTAAATTTTACATCGCTCATTCACTTTACGCGCGTATCTGACGCGTACAGTCACGAGCAAAACTCGTCTCGTACAAAAGGGTTTCGCGATCGAGCCTTTCAAAAATTCCGTCTCGCAGCGCCAAATCTAATCTCCGTCCTTTTTTTTTTTTTTCTTTTTCGTATCCACTTCACCGTTATATTTCAAATTTACGTAACGTACGTACGAACGAAGAGGACTTTCCGGTTACGCGTTTGCACGTAACGCGTGTAATTTCGATCGTAATTCGGTTGATAGTTATTAGCGCGCTACATTTATGCCAGATTGCACGTAAATAACGTATAAACGCGGATCGAATATTCCATCGAATATCCTCTCGTCAAAGCGAATCAACATATCGATCCGTACGAATCGGATATGATACCCTTTCCCCCCAATTTTTCCAAACTCGTCCGTCGTATAAAAAATATCGAATCGAATCTATCGATCCAGTTGATCATCGTAACGATACAACAGACGTTTGGATTGTTCGCCTGCCAACACCTTCGACAGGATATCCATGAAAACTTGGATTCGATCGTGTATTTATACAGCTAACTACCTGCTAGTAGAGTTGCAGTATCGCGGCAAACAATGCAGTTCGTTTTAAATCAACACAAGTTTCCCAAAGTGATCCTGAAATATCGTATAATTCGAACTCGGTTGTTGTTGATCCTTCTCCATCTCGACGATGAGATCGTCGAACGCATCGAAGATTCCCTTTCTCTTTTCTGTGTTTCGAACACGAGGGGTCGGATCAAGGGCAAAAGTTACGATCTTTTTTGTTTATGGAAGGCAGAGCGACACACGCGTTTTTGTACTTTTCACCGGGTGTATTGCGCGAATGGTCAAACGACCGTTCTTTTTTTTCTTTTTATTACCTAGTCGATGGCACACCGAGCGATGGCAACACGTCCTATATCAGGATCGTTTTGTTTACAAAACAAATCGTTATCCTTCTCGGGACATAGCGCAGCGGTATTAGCACGTGTTCGAAGCGCGGGTCGAAAAGAATAGGATGTGGATATTTTGGTAAAAATTTATTTCCTAGTTTTATCGCTAATAATACAACGTCGGTATCTCTTTTTTTTCATTTTTCTTTCTCCCTTTCTTTTTTTATACGCTATTTACACAATTACAATAAGCGTTTCGATTCCTATAAAGGACGATTCATATATAGAAGAAGTACGTTCCACTATTGGTCCGCGAGATCATTCGTCCAAAAGGAAGCGTTTGTACACTTAACGCTAAGCGGCAAGCTTAAGCTTAAATTGTGATAATACTTTTTTTGTCCAAAAAATAAAAAAGAAAAAAAGGCACGTAAATTACACAGAAGGAAAAAAAAATGTAACAACGGTCCAGAGCTCATCGTCATCGTTTTAAACGATAAAAGCAACAATAACAGGTACAGGAATTGTGGAAACAGTGTAAAATCATCGGATAACGATGAATTGTCGCCATTACCTATCTCTTATAATCTTAAACTTAAATTAACTTATTTAAGGGAATAGACACCTGATATATACACATCACGATTCGCGAAAAGCGTATAATACGTATCATAATACACGTATGATATATACTTCCTTTTCCTTTTCCTTTTTTTACTTCTATCTGTACAAGAACGAACGTTAATCGTGTACGTCGATCTCGACCCTTTGCAGGAGGTCAGGCTCTGGAAAAACAAGCGATGAATTTCTCCTTCGAATAATTTTTCCGAATAATAAGAGAGAGAGAAAAAGGTTTACCGTTTCGATTTTCCTCGATGTACAAGCTCGCTCTTTGAGATCGCCTGCTGTCGCCCGAGTATCTGATCCTTGGCTCGATCCTTTGAGCGGAAACGTAGGTCGGGATGGTGAAATCGTCCGGCCCATCTTTTACCGGCAATGCGCTCCTTCTCCTGCAGATGGCCAGCCCGATGATCACGCCGATCCCGATCAAGATCAAAGCAACCGCACCTTGCATCCGAAAATATCGTTAGAAATTCGACGAATCCGCGATATTTATCTTGATTATTTCCTAAAAGCTACTTCGAGAGACTGGTAATAATTTCATCAATTTTATTAATTTTTAATAAATTAATTTCAATAAAAAAAAAAGCTATTAAAATTCTTCATGAAAACACGCGAGTCTCAAACGCATTGCACAACCTGTTACCTCTTTATTTATATTTTATTTACATTATATTTATATTTTTTTCGATCCCTTTTCATCTAGTTACCTGTACCTGTCAACGCGACCACGATGATCATGTTCTCAGGGCTGCTCTTGGGCAGCGCTTTCTTCAGATCCTCGAGGAACAGGCCGTTCCTCTCGATCTTCTCGCCCACCATCACCTCGCCGACCCTCACGTTCTCCAAGAGGAGCGGCTCGCTTCTGCCCTGCCCGTTCACCGCGTACACGTACAAAGTGTAATCGAAGGCCGGGTCGAGGCCACGTATCTGGAAACTCGGCCTCGGGTTTCTCTCTTGGTATATGGGCGGCGCCTCGCCCACCGTGC